TGTTCTATTAACATCGATGAATGCAAGACAGATGATGGGTACCCTGTTTGTCAAAATGGCGGAACATGTGTTGACAGGGTGGGGTCGTACAAGTGCATATGCCCTCCTGGGAAGACAGGTAAACATTTGAATTATTTTGTGTAATTATGTTCTCATACAAAAAACATCGAGGTCATTGTCTTGCTCGCCAGCATAGTTAAAAGCTGATAAATACGAATAAAGCAAAAAATGAATWATGTGAACGAAGACAGATTTCATTTTCTGCTATATGAACTTTTCGTTCACTTCTTATCTGTTTACGTAGCGAACAAAACAACAGCGAGTTGAAAAACATGTTTCGTCTTTAATGACCTTCTCAATTTCAACTGAACTGTCAGCTGAAATTTAGAAGGTCATTAAAGACGAAACATGTTTTTCAACTCTGTTGTTTTTGTTCGCTACGTAAACAGATAAGAAGTGAACGAAAAGTTCATATAACAGAAAATGAAGCTTAGTAAATCTGTTCTTGTYTCGATAAAAGATTTATCTGATGTTAAGAAAGATTTCGAATTCTGTTAAGGCTTGAMAATTCAAAGCAGTTGCTATTTGTGCGACTATCAATCCGATTCTCTCTATCTGGACATGCGCATGCAAGCTATTTGGGACTCTATCCCAGGGTGTCCTGAAGCGGATCGAAATGAAACCAGAATTGGACTAACTGCGACGATTAAATAGAGTACTTGTTTYGTCAATTGTGGATTTRGCTGGTTACTATTCCTTACATCTGTCTTGCTTTAATAACAGGCCTTATATGTCAATTCGATGACCAGTGTACATCCAGTCCATGCAGTGTTAATGCGACTTGTTTAACATCTCCATTTGGGGAGGCAATTTGCATGTGCTYTAGTGGATGGACTGGGCCAAMTTGTGATATTGATGTCCAGGACTGCAATGTAGATTATTCTCCCTGTGGGAATGGCGGAACATGTAGAGATATACCTGGTAGCTATGTCTGTGACTGTGTTCCAGGATTTGCTGGTAAGTTAGATAACAATTTTTTCTCTTAGTGAACTCTTCGAAAATCAT